TTGAGATTGCAAAAGTTAACTGATTGACCGAGAGGTTTATTCAGAATTATTGATTCTAATAGATGACCTTGCGTTTGAATAATTGTAATTAAAATCGTCTGTAAAATATGTTTATCTTAATTGAATATTAACTTGATAAAGTTCAAGCGACAGGTTAAGTATAGTTAAGAGCTTTACCATTGAATACTATATAAAATTTAATAATTGTTTATCAACTCCTCTTTGATCAGTTAGTTCTAACATGTTGATGCACACATATGTATATATGGGATTTACCGAACAGTGATAAATGTTTTTATCTGTTATCTATCGATAAACGCTACAATTGTTTGAAGCTACATGTAAGTATACATTAATAACTGATATATTATTTTATTTATGTATTTAAAGTTTGTATATGCACTTTGTAACATTTATGCTATTTAGACAAAACAAGCGCCGAACTCCGAAACAGTGTCTGCTCTTAACTGACATAAATCAGCGTCACGAAGAAAAATTTGCGGGAGGGGACCTAGGTTGAGGGCGATAACTCTTTAAGTCTGTAATACTTTTATGGTATTCAGTTGCATCAATGCTTTTTAAGCATTCAATAATATCAAAAATATTTTTTTACAAAAATTGTTTACACAAAAGTACCAGTGAAATTTATAAACATTTTGATAAAGTAAATCTATTAAAACAAATAGTATAATTGCAAATCAAAGTTTTTGCAGAGACACTAAGTACATTTGTCGTTGTAGAGTGCTTGTCTTAAATGCGAGGTGTAATGAGTTATATCACTGGTCATGCCAACCAAAGACTTTAAAATGACATTGCTGCCTCTCCGCTTAGCAAACAGTTCATGACAAAAAGATTGGTAACTGTTGTATATGTAGGAGTGTAGATGACTTGTGTCTTCACGCTGTCCAATATATAGAAAAGCTTTGTATGTCTTGCACAAAGCAGGGTGTATTTATTTGATATGGTAACGTTCTTACATTTTTTGTGATACTTACCGTTTATAAATCATATATGATTGCCAAATGATATATACAGGCTTATGTGAGCCTCTCTTTTAGTTAACTGTGTTTTGAGGCTGTTGTCCTGTTATGCGTACCCATAAACTCCTTTATTCTGAATTCACCAGTACCGATTCCTTGAATAATTGATTAACGATACCAAAGGGAACAATCTATACGAAAAAATATTATAAAATACTTCTTTGACTAAAATTTGGAGCAAAATAAATGCCTGAAACGATTTCAAATGTTTTTCTCGTTTTTTACACAGCTACCGAACACGCATCTTATTTCCCAGTTAAAACATCTTGTATCTAAAATCACCCGGAAAACAAAAACCTTAGGCAGCCCTGTGCATGTTATATATACACGCATACTCATATGAAATTAGACTAAAAAGATATATAAAAGCATATTGAATTTTTTTTTTTAAATGTACTTAAGGTGATGGACCTAGGAGATACATGTTTAATTAGAAATGCAGCTTTTTTGTTCTTAAGGAGGAAATCTAGGTAAAGGGAGATAAAGACATAATCGTATACCTGTGATATTTAAGAGCGAAAATACTAAAGGAATAGTTAAAACTCATAATTCGGAAACGAACTGACAATGCCATGGCAAAAAACTAAAAACGACCAAAAGACAAACAACTGTATACACAGCACAGCACTCGATCAGCAACACGAACTCCATACAAAAATATAACTCATAAACACTCTAACCTATTTAAGGTCCCTTGTTTAGAAATTTCAGCTTTTAGTGAAGCTAAATTCGGAAGTGTTGCTCACTGAAAAAAAGATCTATCAATTGTGAAACTAAGACAAGTTTAATCATTCCATATATAACTTTACAACATGTGTTCAATGGCTTGATATATTGTATAGATAATTGCTTATGTAGGGTCCGTATATTGACCTCTTATCTTAAAGTGGTGGGTGAGTTGGGGCACTTAAATATAGCACTGATCTTCTTTTTAATGACTTCATTGTCGTGTTCCTTCCCAACTGATATATGTTGTATATATATATATTCCACATCTAGTTTTTGTCACACTCTGGTAATGAAGATCAGCTATCTATATAAGATATAATACGGAGTATCTAAAAATCAAACAATTAGTTTTTTTTTTTATACGTATAGATAAATCAATTCTGATATATAGTATTGTTACGTTTGATGATATTTTGCTGAATTTTCATCACACACGATCATTTAACATTTTATCTAGGTAACATGACGACTTTAAAAATCTATTTTCATGAAACATACTGTTACATGTAAGACTATCAGTTTAGATAGTGATCAGACAATACCGGTATGCTGATAAAAAGAATCGAAACTTCTGTAACATTCCCTATAATCCCACAAAATCAGCTTTATGTGTCCTGGTTTGTCAATGTATCAACTAAACAAGGAAACAAAATTAATTTAAAAAATGCATTTTTATACGGTATGATATTTTTAGTTATCATTTTGTAAGGTTGTTGTGTATTCTACCGATGTTTTACATTTAAGTGCCTTTTCTGTACTGATTATGTGTTATGTTCTGTTATTGACGTTTTAATAATCCACAAACCGAGATTAAAAAGGGGGTGGAGTAGGGGGGTTAGATCCCACAATACTAGTGTAACACATTTCTATGTACCTGCCAGAAGTTGGAACCTCATCAGTGGTTGTTTAATGTCTAAAGAATCTGAGTTTTAACCATAGGTGTCGATGGCAGATCTTAAATTGTTTTCTATTATTCAAGAGTATGATATATATATATACTATATCTTCTACCAATGCATCCAGTGTGATACGATGTTTCTCCACTCGAGACAGTTACATTTTAAATATCGAAAATGTAACTGTGTCGAGTGGAGAAATATCGTATCACACGAGATGCAGTGATGGGATCTGTTTCTCTAATGATTTTTATGCAGACAAACCTAATCCTTCTTTCCCGATGATCATATGTTCTTTCTATCGTACGCCATCCGGTATGGTCGCCTTAATAAGTGACGCCACAATTGGATATTTAGAGGAAAGCAAGTAAATTTGACGTCATCATTGAATATTGATCAATGAAGAACTGAGATCAAACAAACCACACGTTGATTAAGAAAATAAATAATCAACAGAAAATATACATTGTACTGGTTTATATTTTTGTATGACGTTTTCTTATTCCTTTGATCGAGAATAAAAGGGAGAGGGTTGAGAACTCACAAAATTATCTTAACCTGCCACATTAACCTTGTGCATGTATTAAGTCAAAAGGGCCTCGTTGGTGGTTGTCATATCCCAATTAAAAAAAACTCTGATTACAACTTTTGTAGACTCTAGACGATTCAGAATTTGACATATTGTACAGATACTTGCTTTTTGAGAAATTACATACCAAAAACAAATTCGGAATTCAAAATGGAGGCTTTCCTTAGTTACGGACTGGTAAAACGTGGAATCTAACCCTTCAAAATATTTGTCAACGTCCAATGAAAATTATCGTTACAAACGAATTGGGATTATAATTATACATTTATCCCTTCTAAATTACAAAATTTAACGTATATGTATTTAGCTAGGTTAAAACTTTGTAACATGAAACCTGTAGCATGAACTAAAATATTTTACAGGAAATATTGTTTATTTTGTATTAATAAATAATCACTCATATCTTATATTCCCAATTTTGATTTTGGTTGGAGGGTATTTATTGAAGCTTTTGGTACATTATACCCCCATTCTTAATAACAAAGCTCAAACTCAAGTTGTTTAATATCTTTTATTTGTTAATCCCAGTTAACAAGCTTGATATTTTCGTTTATCATATACTTGTAGAAAATAATGGGATAAAACTAATTTATACATATATTTATTCAATAAATTTGAGGAATTGTCTTAGCCGTGTGATATGACTTTTGTTATCAACTGCTTCCGGTATATATCAACTGTTTCCGGTTTATATCAACTGCTTCCGGTTATTATCGCATGCCTTTCTTTAACGTAATCACAAAGTATTTCGACGTCATTCTGCAAATTCCGGAAAATAAACCTCAGTGGTACATTTAAGTGGAAAACATAGCGAAGTAGAATAACAGAAGAAATATTAGGAAACAGGAAAATATATTATTAAAAAAACGCAAAACAAATAATACAAGATTTAAAAAAGTTTTCATGTCTGTATGGCTTCTGCTGAAGTATATGATAAAAAGAACATAACATGTCATTTTTCATATCAGACCCCTTATCAGCCCATGGTCAAAATCATCCCTCGAGCCTGTCGGCTCTCGGGCTGATATCATGACCTAGGGCTGATAAGGGGTCTGATATGAAGAATGCCATGTTATAATCTATATTTTTCAATTTTTATATGAATAATAACATTCATATAAAAATCGAAAAACAAAAATATGAAGCTCGTTAAATCGGATTAACAAATAAAAGACAAAAAAAAAGAATTCTAAGATGAATAAGAAATAAATGTCAAGGTTAATTATTTTATTTTCCTCAAGAACTTGTTTATTGTTTTGTTAAAGACTGCAAATGAGAATTCCAAATCGAATTGTCATACTGTCGGTTTGTTTTGATGTGTTTTGATATTTATTGATGATATTTTAACTCACTGATTAGTTCTTTTTCTTCGGTGTTTACTTTTTTAATGAAGATTATTATGTGAAAGCATGCTTACTTAATGAGGCATATGTCTTGACGAAATACTTCAGGAAACAACTAGAAGAGTTAGTGCTCGAAGTAAATTAACTTCAAAGTGTCATTCAATAATTGCCGGAGATGAGTTGCATGTCTCATTGTTTTAACGTGTTTTGAATTATAAAGGTTATATGCACTTTTTAACTAGTATAGAAACGTTAACAAGCTAAACAGTACATGTTTTGCTTTGATAACTAGCATTGCAAATCATTTTTACAGCAATCTTCAGAATGACATGCATATTTTAGAACTCGTAAATTTAATATATTTTTAAGTAGAAATATTTCTAATTAAGTTTATTTGTTTTAGCTTCGCACACGTAAATTTTGCTGATTCAAAGTCTGCCATATTCATTTAAAGGTGTGTATTAATGATCTACCCCGTAGTTAATTTCTTACCCAGAAACATTTCATCAGTAATATAGCAAAGATCATATGCAGGTTTTTCCTCCTATCCACCGATTAATATGTTATTTATCTTGTTCCTACTCTTAATATAAATGACATCTGTTTAGTATAGATTACAGGGATCAACATTACATAAAACTTTTGCTCCCAATCGTTTGCCTTAGTGTAACCCCGAGGTGAAGCAAATAATGATAGTAATATTTGTAAACATAAAAAAATAAGGAGATGGAATAGGATTGTCCATGAGAACTATCCACCAAATGATTGGCAATTAACTAAATACTAGTAACTACAGATCACCGCACGGACTTTTACAATGAGCAAAACCCATACTGAATAGTTACATGTAGCTGTAAAAGGTTACGATGACATATTGTGACCCAATATCACAGGGAATGCGTTCTGATTTAAAGAACAGGCATACCAAGAATGTTGTGAAGTTTGACAAAATTTCTCTTATTGTCAAGAAATCATTCAATATAAAGTATACATTTTAACAAAACACTTATAGACAATGTAATAACTGGTATTAGGATCAATCATAATTGCAAACATGTACCAAGAAAGGCAGAATCCTAATACTTTATATCGTTATACATGTACTAGTATATGTAATCTAGTACAAAATAGCAATGCTCTTCCATTTATAATTAGCTTAAGCATATGCATAGATATTTTAAGGATTTATTTTCATATACTGTATAAACAAGCGTATAGGGACAAGGTACTACTCCCTGAACTTTACCCATCGGCAGTAAAATCCATGCTCTAGGTGGGCGTCCAATTTGGGTGTATGAGGATTTGAATTGGGGGTCCTTCATTTATGTATTCTTTATTTTTTGGGGCATTTTTCATCATCTTAAAACTAATGCTTATTCTGTGAAATTCTCATGAAACTCATTTAATTATGAGATTTATTTGTTATTACATGATGTCTTTATTCTGTGCATGGTTCATTTCTGTATTTTATTACCTAATTCTTTTATTTTTCACTGTTATTCTTCATTCTTTTGCACCCCATTATTCTCTACTATTTATCTTTTTTGCTCATTTTTCTCTATTAATTTTATTTTTTGCCATTATTCTGTATTCTGTATATACCATTCAAACCTTCCTCTATGTGATGTATAAATACACATCCACATCCGATCAGAATGAGGGAAGTTAAATCTGATGCATCTTGTAGGGAGCGTGTCGTACTCTCTGTACGTTCATGAACCTTTGCAACAAATTGCGGGGTTTGTTGCAATTCAAAGTGCTTACCTGCAAAAAGTAAGTAAACTCATAATTTTCATTGGCATTCGAAATACATGTTCTTTATCTCGGTTGACCAACTTCATAGTGCTTATTTATTGGATCTATTGCCAATTTGAATGATTGAATGAATGTATATACATGCATAGCAATCAAAACATTTTTTTTCAATATGACACAGTGATAAACAGAAGAAAACAACACACATTATACAATGTTAAGTAATAATATGACATCTCATTTTCCATACTTATAGTCAGAGTTTTATTGGCATCTCTTAACAATAAATCTAGTTTATAGATATTTGGACAAGAACAGTAGTAGTTTGGTAAATAATGCAACCTTACATACATTGTATACATGACATATTTGCCACTGGACGCTAAACACACAACATTCAATAAATAATATTTCCCGATATATCTACAAAACGAAATGTTTTGAGATTGATGATAAGGAAACCTTTTCATTATTCACTGTTGATTAGGTGGTGTACATGGCAGCATTCGAGGCAAATAGTTCATATTGAAAACCAATTGACAATCGTACATCTACATTATGTACCAGGTCAACTTAAACCTAACGGAATCGGAATAGTGCATGGAAGATTTTCTATAAAGGACCCTACTCTGTTTCAAATGATATTAAAAAGAGTGCCGCCAGGGTCACTCGCTAATTTTGACATTTAAACAAAGATTTCGAATTCACTCCCAAAACAACAAGATGGAATATTTTTAAATTCAAGAGGTTAATACTAGTAATTTGCTTCTTATTGATGAAGATCGCACGGTGTGCAATACGTGATTAAATCCGTTTAATTTGGACTGTGTTGGATAGTTTTCTCATGGGACATCATAGCACAGTTCAGTATTTCATATAGGAGCATATCGTTGGTGTGTTTTTTTCTTCTTGTTTGTTTGCCATCGACGTATAATAGATAAATAATAAAGTTCAATGTCGAACTATCTTGAATGAAAATATTAGGATTAAAAATCAGGAGATGTGTTGACTAAAGACCAAAGTACAAGGACGTAAAAAGTAAAATAACAAAAATACCGAACTCCAAGGGAAATTTAAAACGGAAAGTCCTTAATAACAGTTACTGTATGTGATTACACAATAGTTACTGTATACGATTACACCCATAACGATCAATTGGACCAGGCAAGAAGTGACTACAGATGTTACTCAGGGATATACCCATAGTCGTCCTCGTGTAGCCATTTTGCTCTGATATTCCGGTGATATTTCATTATGTGTTGGAATGTTCAGCCATAAATGCAAGTAGACAAACGCTTTTAAAGCATCATTTTGTAAACAGACCACATTTTAGAATTTCAAGATCTAACAAATAGCAACAAACCGTCTGAACTATTTAAGCAAATTATACGAAGATTTATTGAATGCCTAGAATATCCTGGGTAAACTCTTTGTGTCTCTACATTTGTACTTGTATTTTATACAAAGTGTGTTAGTTTCTTTTTTATATTTCTCTTAAACGTTGTACTTTTGTTTACGAGAATAAAGATATATGTTATCAATAAGAGTTACAAGTACAAAAGATAAAATTGTTTATATCATTCAGATACTTTCTCTTATATTGATAGATTAGTTAATAACAAATATATGGCATAATATAGATGGAATAGGATCCCAGTTACAGGATACCAATCCAGTACCAACGAATGAAGTTCCTAAATAAATATACCATCTTTTAAATGGTATATTGTGCCGAGATGAAAAATTACGTAAAGATGCTTAAAATTGTAGTATATCTAAAGGGAATTCATTAAACTTTCAACTTCTGTTAAATTTTAAGTGATTCTGAAATGTATAGTGTGGATGATTGTTTGAGTAAATGGGCCAAATTTTATTTTCGATTATAATCAGGAAGTTAATAAATGACCATATTAATACTCAAAACAGTATTGCTCTCTTAAATGCCGGTCATGACCCCCCGAGAATTCTCAAAGAAACCATGAAGGGGGCTAACTGCAATTTTGCAGTCTAATATAGGAAATAAAAAATCTGCCCCTCAATTTGGATAAAAAATCATTGAAGTAATGGGGGAAATAATTGGTTCCCCGTTCCAGATCCGATGTTAAGCAATGATTAAACAGGCAACCAACCAATCAATCAATGCTCTAGTCCACAAAAGAACATTCAAATCAAAACACTTTAAGAATTACTGTTTTTACAATAGTTTATTTGAATAAAATGTAAAAAGTAGCTATAGAATAAGATAAAAAATCATAAGACAAAACTGTATCGTGACGATTTATTGTTAATCTGGTAATATGAATACAGGATAGAACGGTAATATGAATACAGGATAGAACTCACTTTTAAGAATTTCAGTAAACAGCCAGATCTCCTTCCTGCTGCATATCAGATGTCAGTTTTGTAACAAAAAGGAAGAAGTAATAGTATATTTAAATTTGAAATTCCAAATGAAATTTAATTTTTTCTCATAATGGATATGTATCTGACATGACCTTCGCACGATTGATGTCGCAACTTGCTTTCAGAAAATGACATTGGAGTGCTATTAAAAGCAACACGATAAACTTAAATAATATATGATAAATAGTACAAAAGAGAATTTCTAATTTGACTGTAATGTCGGACCGAAAATACTTATTTTAGGATGTTAATTGTTAATCTAGTATCATGTTACAATGCATCTATACAATATTTAGAATATTAAATGAACATGTTATATCTATATAACAGTGTGATAATTATTTATAACGGCCCACCATGTCTTATACGAGGGTCTTGAAAGGGGGTCTTCATTTCTGTATTTGAAAAAAAAAATTAGGCCATATTTCTCTATTCTTTCTTTTTTTTTGGGGGGGGGGGGGGGGACGTTCATTATTCTCTATTCTGTATAATTTACTAGCATCGCACTATTCTCTATTCCTTTTTTTTTTGCCTATTTTTTCCTCTTTTTTGTTTTGTAACCCTTTATTCTTCGTTTTTTGTCCATTATTTTCTATTCTGTAAACCCCACCTAGACCCTCTTATCTGAACAATCTACCTATAATTTTTATACAATGATACCTTTAAAAAATAAAAAAAAACTTTTATTCATGATTTTTTTTTTATTTGAAAATTGTTTGTTCGATGAAGTTTAAGAGTCTCTACTAAAAATATACAATGACCTTATATGGGTATGAGTGTTGTAACATTGTACAAGGGATTACAAAGAATTTTCACATTTTGAAAGTTCGACTCTGACGAAGACTTTTTGTTGTAAATACAATGTTTGTCTTTCTATACGATATAACTTGCATCTTCGAAACATTATTCTCAGTATCGTTGCAGAAATCTTAAGAATTGTCAAATTTTTCCTACATGTTTCAATGATTGTCATTTTCAGGCGATCGGATATATTTTAGTTTGCTTGGTGGATGCTTTCTTAACACTCGTAACATTGGTTGTGTTATAATTTTTATATCTATCTGGCAACTGTTCCCTATATTTATTATTTTTGCTCTTAACATCAAGTCAGTACAAGAATTACAGGGTAAACACTGTAGTTATTAGACATTTTCATGTCTATTGACAGTTTTCCTTCCGGTGGTCAGTGTTTTCCTTCCGGTGGTCAGTGTTTCTCTCCTTGCTCTCCGGCTTCTTATAAAAAAACTGACCACCAAGAAACAGCCAATAGTCCTGAAGCGGCATTAAACACCAATCAATCAATCTATTGACTGTCGAATAAACTCAAAGTTTCCCTCCGTAAACCCATGAGGGTAGTTTTATTAACAACGGCATTCACATTGACATCCCATTCAGTTCTAAGTGACATTATCAAGAGTTATTATAATGACCAGATACCGTAAATTCCCATGTGACCACAACATGTAAAGTCTATAGTAGATGTATAAGCCGGGGTATTGCTCCCCACCCCCTCACATTTTTTGCCAAACAAAAATCCAACTAAGAATGAAATTATTAGACTATAGAAATATAGAAGGTTTTATTATTATTTTTTTGCATGTCAATCTCAGAAATCCCCCCTTTTATATTGTATAGAATGCATACATGTAATGGTGCTCAGCATCGGACTCACTCGTCAACTGACTACTAGTATCATAATTCATCGTGAATACTTAGTACCGAATAACATATCAATATCCAAACATCTATCAACTTTCAATATATAAAAATGAAAAGTGGCAATAATTGAGAACCTACCATCAATGACTTATCAGTTTTAATTTCGCTTATATATATATAAGAGTGCTCACCATCGGACTTTATTGTCAATTAACTATCATAGATCAGGGTTTTACCAGAGACATGAATTGCATGTATTAAATGTCTCTGGTTTTACATATCAGTATTCAAACATACATCAACTCTTAATATATGAAAATTAGAAAGTGGCAATATTTGACAGCCTACCATCACTGGACTTATTAGTAATAACTTCACCTATACATGTAAGGGTGTGCACCATCGGACTTTATTGTCAATTGACTATCACGGTACATGGTTTTACATATAGATATTCAAACATATATTAAGTCTTAAGTACCAGTCTTTGTAAGTATCAGGCAATTTAGAAAAAATTCAAAACAAGGCCGAAAAAACCCACCGACCTAACCACCCTTTTTTGAAGGTACCCTCATCCTGAGTTAGAAATGGTAGGTCTTTTGTTTCTGCGTGTCTGGTAATTGGAGAAATATTTAGTTAAATTTTGGTAAGAATGATAGCAAATTACAGAGTTATCGCCCCTTAATTGTTAATGTCTAGTGCATATCAACCAAATTATATCTTGAATTACCAGAACGGGGAAAGGAAACGAATGTTATATTCATGCACCATTATACATTCTGAACATGAATTAATGTAAAGCTGAGTGGGTTTTTGTTTGTCATGTTTTCACCACTGCCTGATTCTTAGGCAGATTGGCACTTAATATATGAAGATGAAAAATTGCAATAATTGACAGTCTCCCATCACTGACTTATTAGTAATAACTTTACCTATACATGTAAGGGTGCTCACCATCGGACTTTATTATCCACGGACTATTATGCGTCAATTGACTATAATACTTCATCAAGACTATCGCAATACAAGTTTTTACATATCAATAAAAAAACGTATATATCGACCCTTAATATATGAAATGAAAAATTGCAATAATTGACATTTTACAATCTACAACTTATTAGTTAGAACTTCACCTATACATGTAACTTTAAGGGTGCTCATTATATCGGACTGCGTTTTCAAATGACTATCACGGTACAAGTTTTTACATATCAATACTCAAACATAATATCTTATATTTTCTTAATATATGAAAATAAAATTTCTAATAATTGACAAACTTCCATCACTGATTTATTATAGATATAATTTCACCTATATATGTCGGAAGGCTAGGCATCGGACTTTATTGTCAACTGACTATCATTATGATACTTCATCAAGACTATCGCAATACAAGGTTTTACATATCAATAAACAAACGTATATTAATTCTTAATATATGAAAATAAAAAACTGCAATAATTGACGGCCAACCACCAATGATTTAGTCATTAGTAATTACTCCATATACTTATTTTCTTTCAGATATAATGCAGTGTTCTGTGGAAGCAGCACACATGCCACTCCGCCTTGTTGTGACTGAATTATGCGTAAATAAAAAATACTGTAATTTAATAACCGATTGAAATATAAGCTATGTATTATACGAAGAACAGAGATTTACATATCCAATTATATTTCTCATTTATTGAGGAGGCAGAGAAGATTCTTTTAATTGACAGTAGGCTATGGTAACGATGGTTTATTGGAAACAATAATAAAATATAGACTATGACTGGATTATGAATAGTGATATTCTTGGACAGTTATACATTCAATTTGCATTATTTTTTTCTCCTTATTCTAAAGTTAAGACTTTTTATCGACTGTGTTAGAAGGCTCATAAGTCATTGAAGACTACATTGGAGAGTTTGGATGGTAAAGGAAACTGTGAAGTTAGAGACTACGATTTGGTATTAGTTAACGTTACAATGTGCTTTATACTCTGTAGTTGTAGTATTGTATTGGTTTTAATATTCAGGATTTGTGGAGGTACAGTTTGTCACCAGAATGAGGTAAGGTATTTCTATAATAAAAAAAAAGTTTTAATTAAGTATACATTTATTTAATTTAAACCCTTTTTTAAATGCTTCTTTTTATTTTTTGGTTCTTTCCAATCATAATTATTTTTGCAGCACTGGGTCGATACCGCTTTTGTTGGACTATTACGTAGTCCCGAAGGTTTCATCAGCTAAGTGGTAGTTTATAACAAACCTTTCTGAAATTGTTCGATTATAAATACAGAAATTATTACAAAACTAAGGTTTCAACTCCATCAGGCAAAGTTGACTTTAGATGGATTTAGCTATCATTTTTATGTCCTTTTCGATCATAAAGCTCTTCAACTTGGGCCATGGCTTTCAAATATCGGCTTTGAGTGTTCCTGATGAAGGTAAATACAGGAAAGCGCTACGAACGCATGAAATTTTTAAAGTGTTGTTTTCATTTTTTATTATTTATCATACTTTATATCTCTTTCTATGATTTTCTTTGAATTCAATTTATAGAAAATGTGTTGTTTTATATATAAGTTTTTTTTCTAAAGTTTTTAAAACAATTTGTTATTCTATTTCAGCCATGTTATTATTACTTTTATATATTTTTGTTCACCTTTTCATTGTATAATGTATCAAACATTATCAAATATCGAGTTACTTCTTATTGAAGAAAACCAGCATGTATAAACAAACTATAAGTGGTTTTATCAGCATTGTTAATTAAGTGTTCCAATTGTAAATTATTAAAGTAAAAATAATATAATAAATATAATAACAAGTTTTAAATATGAAGTTATAAAAATAGGATTTGGAAATATTCGACATTGTTCATTAAGTGTGCCAATTGTAAACTATTAAAGTAAAAATGATATAATAAATATAAATACAAATTTTAAATATGAAGTAATGAAAATAGGACTTGGAAACATTCAAAATGGTTGTTCAAGATACATTTATTTATCTTTAAAAAAAAAAATATAACCGAAATATTCAAGTCGTTCTATTCCGCTACATGGGTGAGTGAGAGAGTCGTTCACGGGGAGGGACTAGATTATTCGGGGTAGTCAAAATACTTCATGCTGTTTACAACAAGATAGGATATCAGAGAATTAGATATATATATAACAGGAAGCTATTTAGCAGTGGAAATGTTTTTATAAACATGTTACTTTTTATCAGTAGGATACAAATGCAAGGAGATTATCATAATCAGTTGAACACAATACTTCTAAATAGTTGTCTGATATCAGATTGATAAAAAGAAAAAGAAGATATGTCGAGTTAGATAATCTTGCATTTATAAAACAATACTACTCCACCCGAAATGTTAAGATAAAAACAAATTTTGGATATATCTATATACACTGTGTGAACAGAGAGTAGAAATAGCATAATGTAAGCAACTATTGGTCACCGTACGGCCTTCAAAAAATGAAAACAACCTGTTATAAATTGCATGCGGCTGAAGCGTTTTTCTGGATCTACCTTCACCAGAAACACCCGAAGCCGAATATTTGAAAGCCAAAGATGTATAAGAACCGAAACAGACGAAGAGCTATATGACCAAAAAGGACCTAAAAATAATAGCCAAATCCATCTAAGATCAATTTTGCCATAGGGAGTTGAAACCTTAGTTTTCTTATAATTTCTAAATACGGTATATACAAGGACAATTTTTTATAGGTTTCTGGCTATAAAGATATTCTAAAATTTTAAAGTTGTTTATAATTATTGATATGGATATTCTCAATATTTTTTAGTTAAAAAGGCATTTTTATTTATTGAATATTCATTGACTCAACGATCTTACTGATAGAGTATTCTTTAGGATCACCGATTCAATCAATGATGTATTCGCTGATTGTTATGACATGACAATGATAAAAAACAATTTATCGGTTAGCAATAACATAATTTACGTGGAAAGAAAAAAAACTGTTTTTATTTGAATTTTTATAACCTGGTCTCATGGTACCATAATACTTCCTTTGTTAACTGTTCTGTAAACATGATATCTACGTCATTTAAACTTTGGTGGATAGTGCTGTTGTGCGGTTTTCTGACTGACCAATACCCCATATCAATCTTGATTATTTGAAGTCAATTTTGTTTCTGTCATTTCAAATAGTTTATAAAAATGGAATGCATTTATTAAAATATTTTGATTGCCTTAAACACACAAAAGCATGAAGATGAACGATAGCTGTAATATGTTAACTTTGTGACATTACAGTGAGCATTCCTGTAGATATAAACAACTTAAATGCTGAAAATGCATGAAATATTTGCCACTGGACGTTAAGCAACAATCAATCAATCACTGAAATAAAAATATCTTATTTGTTCTTGCTTTATAACATTTTTAGAAAACAGTTTAGCATAGGTTGACTGTGGAGGTTGACTATGATATCCAATTTTGAGCGGTCTGAATGTTGGCAGTTACAAGGTCGAACTTCTGCCAAATACAATATCCCCCTTTTCGGTGACAGTCAAAATATAAAAATAAGAAGATGTGGTATGATTTCCAATGAGACCAAATGACATGGAAGATTATAACTATAGGTAACCATATGGCTTTCAACAATGAGCAAAACCCATAGTCAGCTACAAAATGGCCATCAAGCTGTCAATAATGTTTTATTTTGTGTTTCTGCCCATAGCATAACAGATAAAATGTTCAGTATAATAAAAACTACAACATCTCAGCTAAATGCTTCATATGAGCATTTGGAGGTTCTTACGTTGTATTGACTACCTACATTTGTGATTGATTGCTGGAATTAACGCCACTCTCAGCAATATTGGCTATATCGTGGAGGTCAGTTTAAATCGGAGGAAGCCGGAGTGTCTAGAGAGAACCATTGACCCTTGGCTGGAAATCTGACAACCAACATTGTACTCGTCAATTATCGTTTCATTTGGGCTTTCCAGTAAGTGATCTACAATTAATCTTTCTGTCCCTGGACAAGTCCCCGGAAATACATTAAAGCATATTCAATTAATGGAATTGATTAAACTCCCGTTCAAAAGAAGGGGTGCACAGTATTCCGTACGTCCGTCCCTGTTCCCTCCGTCCATCTGTCCAATGAAAATGTTGTAACATTGTTCTTTGAACTAAATATCAGAGTTTAAACATCCATCGTCATTTAGAGAGACTATTTTGCGCAGAATATTCGACGAAATTAAGTTTTTCCCCTCTTATTCGATTTATGACCATTTCATTACATCTCAATTTACACGATAATAATCATTTTTGTTTCAGGTTTCGGATGTATCGAAATCTTTACAGTATGAACAGGAAATGGTTCAAAAAGCAGAAGAAAAGTGCAATGTTAGTAGGCTGTCGGCCTCCGTTAGAAATGGTAAGTTATAAGCGGACATATTATTTTTCTAGTTGATAGCAATTAAAAGAAGTACATTATGGATTCTACAATTATAGAAGATCATACCAAATAGAATAACAAAAATCACAAAAATAATGAAGATAACATCACATCAGACCACCAACTCGTCTGAGAAAATAAATATATAAAATAAAAACAAGTTAACGTATACAGCACACGGTCAAGATATCCTGAATTTACAGACATAAAGTGTGGTAGGCCTAAGTACATGAAAATAATATTATTTTGAAATTTAGATTTGTTTAATCAACAAAACACAAAATTTAATGTACATGACTACAACGTGAAAATTTGACAGTCAGTTTGATAGTATCTGTTCTGACTCGTACATTTATTGTTACAATGTGATATCCTACCTCTAGCCAATGTAGAATAAAGAAACACATAGCAATACGCATAAAACTCAGTTAAAAAGAAGTCCGAGTCCGATGTCAGAATAGGTAACAAAAGAAACTAAGCAAAATGACAATGATACATAAATGAACAAAGGACTACTAGCAGTTACTGACATGCCAGCTCCAGACCCCAATTAAACTGATTGAAAGATTATGTCTTCATCATATGAAAATCAAGTACAATCCCTCCCGTTAGGGGTTTAGTATCATACCATCATAAAATATATGAGAAGAACATAACCCGTATCATGCCAACAACTGGTTTTAGAATAAATGTGTTTATTTCCGATTCAAAGACCCTATGAGTGAATTAATATTAATACCTAAATATGCAATCCTTAATGACTTGACAACAGTATCGTAACTATATCCTTTCCGAATAAGTCTGTTTAAAGGATTGTACATTTATTGTTACAATGTGATAGTATCTGTTCTGACTTGTACATTTATTGTTACAATGTGATAGTATCTGTTCTGACTTGTATATTTATTGTATTGTTACAATGTGATAGTATCTGTTCTGACTTGTATATTTATTGTATTGTTACAATGTGATAGTATCTGTTCTGATTTGTACATTTATTGTCTTCTCAGCGAGACATGTTGCAATTTTCTTCTGCATTTGTTCTTCGTTTGTTGGTCATATATGTCCTGTACGGTCCACCCAATTGCCGATTTACCTTTCCGATGTACTCTCTACATATGTAAGATTCATATACAATGTATTCAGGGGTTCAAGATACCAGAATAGCATTCGTATTTGAAAATTTACCGATTGTGTCATATCCTATCGTGTCATTTTAAGTGTAGATTCGTATGGCATCACATGCATTGCATTAGCCGCTTACCCTATTGATACAACCGCACTCGTTCCATTTGGAATTAATGCAATTCCATCAGGTTTTTGTTTCTTTTATTTTGCTAATGTCAAATGGATTCACGGAATTTGAATGTTGTTAATCTGCTGCTTCTAATTAACAGATGTGAGAGTATTACCATTTAACGTTTAAGATTGCTGTTTTAGTTTAGAAGCCCCGAACACGCATTTCATGTTTGTGGTACGATGTCATAGATTTAAGTGGTAATGGAACGTTTAGTTCACAAATGGAATATAATTGTAAAAAACATATGCAATACCTCTGGTTCTTATCACTTAATGGTAGGCACTTAAATAAAATCCATATAAAGATGTAATTAATGACAAATATTGCATAACAGAATTTCCCAAACAAGTATTTCAAGCTATTAAACTTTAAATTACTAATGTTTAACGGTAAAAGAAAGACAACCTTTAAAGTTTAATGTCAGGGCCGCAATTATTCGTAATGCTTTTTCCATAGGTACCGGTATTGTTTAATGTTTTATTTCTTGAAGACTACACAAACTAGAAAAATGTGTCCATAGAACACGGATGCCCCTCTCGCACTATCATTTTCTATGTTCAGTGGACCGTGAAATTGGGGCCAAAACTCTAATTTGGCATTAAAATTAAAAATATCATATCATAGGGAACTTGTGTACTAAGTTTCAAGTTGATTGGACTTCAACTTCATCAAAAACTACTTTGACCAAAAACTTTAACCTGAAGCGGGACAGACGGACGGACGGTAAGGACGAACGAAGGGACGAACGAACAAACGCACAGACCGAAAAACATAGTGCCCTCTACTATCGTAGGTGGGGTACAAAAATGAGTAGCAGTTTCTGTTCCTGGAAATGTCAGCGTTGTATAACAGCCAAAAAATATATACATTGTATATGGTCATAGGGCAAAAGTTGACTTAAAATGCTGTTTTGAAAAAAAACGTCTATTTTTTTTCGTTTCATGGGAAAGGTAACAATTTTTGTCTCCTTCGGACATAAATTGAAAATATTTTCAACACTATTGTAAAATATGAATTTAAATTTTAGAATTTTTAAAACCTAAATAAATAACCCTCCGATTAAATTTAATTTCAACCCTGTGTCATCCAATCAGAAGCCGCACCTTATTATATTCTGAGTACCATCTTGGGTTAAACTAAAATATATACAAATAATTGCGCTCTTGTAACCTCAAGAATGACACTCTGGACTCCACTCATCCATTGCAAGTAGCAATACAACCATCGATGTTATGTCAGCCTATCTAGTAATCGTAGATTAAGACGAATTGTAGAGTAAACTTTGGGAGAACAAATTATATGTTCAATGTCTTGTTTCTTCTTGTTTTGGTTTCTTTTTCATTTTTCATTTTTCTTACTATGTGTGTTATTGTTTATATTTTGGCATTAAAAACTACACTTGATTTATTTTTTTTTGTATTAAATATTTTACGCATTTCAAAAGAAATAAGATATTTCCCCGGTTTTTTTTTAATTATAGTTTCATCTTTTTCAATACATATCTTTAAAAAAAAAAAAACAAATTCGCAAAATATTCTGAGTGTAAATAGACGTGGTTTAAATTATATCTGTTTCTTTTTAGAAATTCTGAAACATATACTTTCCCAAAAAAAATAGATCGAATATGAATTGCTTTGTAAATAACGGGCGTATCTAGTATTCATGATCATTTAACAGAAATGCCAACACTTTTGAAGATAGTAAGTTCATACGATTTTTTAAAACATTTTGTTCATGGTTTAAATGTACTTAGTGTGTTCCTTCCATTAATTTCTATTGTTATCGTTAGTTCAGTTATAACTAAGAAGAAAGCAGTTGTTTTGAAATGACGTCACAGATTTATTTTAAAATGAATAAATCAAGTGATAGAGCCCTCCGGACTCATAGTATATGTTATTACGAGCCAACGCTCATCCATTTAAACGCCTACATGTAGTGATTGCTACTTGTACATAATTGAAGATAATTATATTATTATTTTAGATTACCTATAATAAAGTTATTAAATTTGCAAAGACTTCACAATGATAAGTTCGAAACACAATTGATAGACGTTGGTTCGTAAACAAGATAATATTATTCCTCCAGGCTCATAATATATGTTAATAGAACCAACGCTTATCAATTGTGTCTCTTCAGAACAACACTTTTAGAATAGAATAGGTTTTTCAAGATAATGATCACGAATCAAACTAAAATTTAATATTCAGCCGTCTGCATTCATACATGAAGTAGCTGAATAAATAAAAAAATGCAACCTCAACGAATGAAATGTCACCATTTATCTGACATATTTTTTTTTAGCAAAATCGTGTACACGCCAAGTGTTTCACAGTAATCTTCTCTTAGATCCTCCTGTTTTTGGATCTTATATAACCTTAGCTTTCAAATTCAAGGGTTTTCAGCGTTCCCGATGACGGTATAACCAGAAAAGCGATTCGGAAGCAAGAAATTACATAGTGTGTTTTTCCATTTACAACCACTTGGTCGATACATCTGTAGGTGGACTGTTAGTCCACGGTGGTATCATCAGCTCAGTAGTCAGAGTTTTGGTAACGTCATCATTTGTAGTATCTATTTTTTTCTGAAATTATCCGTTAATAACCTAATAAATAAATTAACTCCCACAGGAAAAGCTGATAAAAAATGAATTTGGCTATTTTTTCATATAGTACCTCATGTTTGCGGTCCAGATCTTATACATCATTGGCTTTCAAAATTTTTTAGTTTTGAGCGTTTCTGGTGAAGTTATCTATCAAAGCGCTACGGAAAACATTTTTTTTTAGAATTTCCTTCTGCATCTTGTATTTATCTGTATTGAGTATTTATTCCGTATTATTTTTAATGATTTTAATTGTGAAACAACATAAAAAGTAAACCATTATACACCCTCTTGCCCCGATGCTTTATTACAACAGAAATCAAAAACAGTCCTTCGTTCTTAGAAACGTTCATATTTAATAAACATTCAAACAAATAACACTGATTTTGAAACCTCCAAAATCAAAATACAAAAAAAAAAAAAAAAACCCAAAAAAACTGGCAAATAACGTACGGCTAATTTGGTTAATAAGGTTACCAACCCAAAAAAATTACAAAACAAAATTTAATAGATAGTGTCATCTATTAAACCATTTGCTTTTTCGTGTTCATATCTTCTGGAAGACTATTTTTAATTAACTATTTGAGAATAGAAGACGTTTCACTGACTGGCCTACCATTAAACCTTACCACCGTTAATGATAAGTGACATAGTTAGTAGAAAAGAATGATAATCTTTAATTGCATATCAAGGGTATAATTGCTTTCTCCGTTGGCGGAGAATAATTTTAATTACTGATTTTTATTCTACGCTAGAAAAAGTATTTCGAGAATTACAACTGGTTGATTTATCAGTTTTATGACTATTTTTTAAGTTTAAAGAAATTAAATAGATACTACTGCTTTTATGAGCCATAAATAAAAATGAAATTGCACTCGAACGTGAAAGTGGTACATCAAATTTTATTTTATTTAACTATATCAGCATATTTAATCCTGATAACGTCATTTTCGCATATAAAATGGTACCAGATATCTATAGATTAAACCCCGGCAAAGCTTAGATCTCACTCAAACAATAGAGTTCATGTAATTTTTGCTATGATAATCTTATTTTCGTCTCTCCCTCGCATGATTTATTAGCTTTAAGATCAGGCTAGACATTTACTGTCGTTTTCTTATCACTCATCGATTACTATTATAACTTTTCTTAGGTTTTTCAAGAATTTTGAGATTAAAGTACAAAAATGAACTTGCTACATAAACATTTAAATGTCGATAATCTATGAGATAATCTAAGCCAGAAACAACAATTAAAAAATCGAAACAATGTGGCGGATGACAGCATTTGTAAAGGATGTTTAGATACCTCGGGTTCGGGTACAGTTTTGTCATTATTTGAACTACTACTCAATTATTATTTTAAGAACTACTGCTCATGCCTTGTTGGTGGTTTGAATGTGTTTTTTTCGTGATTTTCAGTGTATACTTGAATATATGCTTGCGCAAATTTTTGGTGCTTGTCTTTGTTTTCGTGTCTTCCGATTTACCACTATGCACATTAGCGTCTGGCGTACAAACTTTAATCCTGGTATCTATGATGAGTTAATTTACAACCACTGGGTCGATACCACCTCTGGTGGAGGTTTACTCCCCGATGGTATCACCAGCCCAGTAGTCAGCCCTTCTGTGTTGACATGAATTATCATTCATTTGGTCACAATCATAAATTAACTGTTTACATAAATTTGAATTTTAATTTAGGAATAGATTACCTTAGCTGTATTTGACAAAACCTTTCGGAATTTTTTAATGCTCCTCAACTGCGTGCTTTATTTAGTCTATTTACCCTTTTTGATTCGAGCGTCATTAATGAATCTTTTAATCTATGATGAATTTAAACACCACAAAAAATAAAAAGAAACATATTCCAATATAACAGTACTCGCAGTTACTGAACTCTAGATATAAGACTAAAATACCAATCTGTACACATCTAATGGATTTAAAATAAACACGTCAAAAACAATCTTGAGAAAAGCATGGCAGTGTGCAATTCTAATATATCAATCAATAGGGCGTAGGCCCATAGGTGTTGATAACTGTCTAGCAAAACATATTTGGTCATGTTTTAATCTATTATTGACACAATGTTAGTACCGATAAAAACAAAATAACTAGTCTATTATCTTATTATAGTGTTGAATTGATTTCCTTTGAGAACAATATAACAATAATAAGATGTGGTATTACTGCAAATAAATCAAGTATCAACCAGTGCTCTAATGACGTAGATGTAAGCAACTACTGGTCACCTTCCGGCCTTCACCAATGAGTAAAACACATACCGTATAGTCAGCTGTAAAAGGCACCGACATGAAAAATATGAAACAATTCAAACAATAGAACCATTGGCCATTCATGACAAAACGATAAAAGGAAACAAAATGACAGACTTGGACAGAGACATACTGAATGTGGCTGGGTTAAGCTTGTTTGCAAGCGCTCAATCCTCCCCCTAACCTGGAACAGTAGTGAAACAGAACAACATAAGAAGGATGAATCGTATCTTACTTTACGGGCTCTATAAACTACATTACCGTACAAATTATGATGCACTATCCCGGTTTATTATATTAACATAGGTCCCACTTTATCTTCTGTCATTATGACTAATGTGTTCTAAAGATTAAATAATAAGACCACTGTTATTATTCAAAAAAGTCTTTTGCCCTAGCTTCGTTTGACCGGAAGTATAAAATCATGCATTTGCATTCATCAAATTAAAAACGTTTACAAAATCAACTTTATTCCGGCCTTACCAAAAAGTTGTCTCTAAGGGCAACAAAAAATGTAACTAGTTATAATGGATAACTTATTTTTTCTTCTTTCATAGATAGCTACTGTAATCAAGTGTTTGATGGAATAATGTGTTGGCCACACACTGAATCTGGTTCCTTAAGTATCCAGCCATGCCCAAGTTATATGTACAGTGTTTTACCAAATGGTAAGTTGTTAACGGTGCATTTGATGTTTTATTGTTACAAGAACACACCCCGACATCGCGGGTCCGTGACTGAATAAAATAATCTACGCCTATTTTTTAGCCTGTATTTTTAGTATTCGTATTGTCATCTGATAAAGCCATGCTGATTATAATGGGCAAAGTTTTCTGTGCATTCAAAATGTTTCTGTTTGAACCCGTCTTGGTTTTCTATTACCGGAAGCTACATGCGACATATACTATTGGTATCGGTATCGGATTCGACCCGGAACTTATTAATTATTGGTAATATTAATTATGTGGAACACAAAAGGGCCTGGAATGGTGTAATTTTTAATCAACACCATTGTCCTAAATTAGTTATATATAAATTTGAATTCTTCGATTCGTCGTGTTAACGTCATGAAGGCTAACAAATTGAACCTGGTTATTTTAGTAGTATAGATATTTGACAAAAACATATATACCACCCCTTAAAAAAAGAATTTCCGAGAACTTACGATTAAGTACCCAACAAGATTCATGTAGGTATAATAAGTACAGGCAATTGGAACTTCAAGTGTTTTGACGTTCATTACTTTAATACTTCAACTAAATGTATTCAACCAACCTGTTGCGTTTAGGTAAAAATGCATAAAAGTCAGAACCAAAGTTCTAAGCATATTCTGTTTACTATATAGCATATATTACGTTATTATTTGAATACAATTGAACTTCACCTTTGATAAGTTTCTGTAAACTTTGTTGTCTTGAATTCAAACAAACGTAATGCAGATTAATGTGTTTTGAGTATTAATGTAGTTTTAAATGCAACTATTTGATTAAGTGATCTCAATATTGAATTTACCTACATTGAAAATGGTGTATCATATTTAGCAAACGTTAACCTTTCCAACTAATTAGGATAGTGTATGTTTTTGTTGTACATTGGTAATGACTTCAGGAGAAAATATATAAACTCTAATGTTTTTTTTGTTTTCTTCTGCTTCAATATTTGTTTTTATACACCAACTCTCACATTATGACTGATGTTAATGCACTAATCTTTATAAAAGCCATATTACATAGAAAATAAAGATTAACAGCTTTTTCTAACTTTGAAGTTGCAGTAAAAGTTGTATTAACATGGAATGACTTATGTCAATTTATAAAAAAGATCTGCATCTGCTTAGATTATTTTTAGTAAAAGCAAATTGATATCGACAGTGGCAGATTTAATATTTCGCACCTCAATGAGTGTAGCAAGTCAGAAATATGAAAGTTGTTTTCCATTATTTCTGTTGGTTTATATCGTCGAGTTTTGGTTTTGTAAGGTTTTATGGACTTTTCCTTTTTTTAATTATGAAACCTTGAAGTTCGGTATTTTTGTTCATTCTTTTTTTCTCCAAACTAATACGTTTTGGTCTAAAAAAATAAAAAAATCGGGGATGATCTAATCCACTCCAGGATGGTAAACAGCTACCTTTCTAGAAGATGCATTTTAAAACAAGATTAACGATAAACATCACATTAAATAAAGGCAACAGTAGTATACCGCTGTTCGAAACTCATAAATCGATAGAGATAAAAACAAATCCGGGTTACAAACTAAAACTGAGGGAAATGCATCAAATATAAGAGGAGAACAACGACACAACAAAAACACAACATTAAAATGTAACACACACAGAAGCGAACTATAATATAACAATGGCATTTTCCTGACTTGGTACAGGACATTTTAAGAAAAAAATGGTGGGTTGAACCTGGTTTTCTGGCATGCCAAAAACAATTGTGTAAAAAATAGATTATCAGCAAATTTCGACTCCCTTAAAGAATTTCAATATGCAATGAATTCTAAAACGAAATTTGCATGACGAGTATGATCTGCTTACCCTTCCGGAGCACCGGAGAGCACCACCAGTTTTTGGTGGGGTTCGTGTTGCTCATTCTTTGGTTTTCTATGTTGTGTTTTGTGTACTGTTGTTTGTCTGTTTGTATGTTTGCCCTTTTTTTAGCCATGGGGTTGTCAGTTTATTTTCGACTTATGAGTTTGAATGTCCCTTTGGTATCCTTCGCCTCTCTTTTGCAATAAACCATGGTTTGGCAGTAGATATACCTTTGTTTGAAATAGTGCAGGCTTTCATTGCGTAATTTAATTTGCATCAATTACACTCTTTAATGAAATTATGACACTTTATTATCTTTCTTCATAAAAATATGCTTTCTAAATCTGTTTTCACAATAAATAATTATTATTTTGAGTATTTTATTACATACCTGACAGTTTATATAGATAGATTATAACAAAGGATTTATATATCCTGTTTACGATAATGTATATGTATATATTTATTGAATCCGCACACTATAAAACGAATAAACTGAAGATAACTACAGTATTTTTATAAAATAATATGAAAAAGAGGGAGTAGATACCATGGGGCCAATCAAAACGTCAATGAAAAACAGTCAAAACCGTGGCCAAATATACAAATAAGGAAAAGTTATTCCACTAAACATTATAAAGAAAAAAATATTGAGTAACACTAAACTAACCAACACTGGAGATAAAACTTGTCTATTCTGACATGTTATACACACCGTCTAACACTTGTGTTATGTCGGGATACTCTTGACAAGTAAGAAAATGGTGATGATTCAAATTTAGTTTTTTCGCAATTGACGAATATAAATCGGAACTCCGATAACGACAAGTGGAAGATATCCTTTGTCATTTGTGACACAGTTACGTTTGAGTATTCTTTAAGGAACAACCAAAGCATGATGGTGTTCATACATCTTACAAATGTAAACTTCCAATTTACCGTTATGAAGATATTGAAAGCTTGTGATTTATATAATACATGAGAGTACCCAAATTGCATTTATTTTAACAGTTTTTCAATAACGTTTGCTTAAGAAAAAGATAACCGTTTCTATTCTGTGTTTATTTTTAAGACGTATCCTTATTTACTAAATAGACTCACAAGTTTAATTTTAAATCCAGCCCGAATCACAGAAAATTGTGTTTTAATCAAACATTAAACGACCCAAGAATCTGTAATGACGAGTACCTCAATTGCTTCCATGCTTAACCACACATCCGTGAAAAATATAATAACTGATGTTTTGTTTCATTTCTCTACATTTTTAGAACAATTTGACATTTGCCCATGCTTACTAGTCATTTTGTAAGAAATGAATTCATTTGATATATGTTAATTGTTCATTTTTAAATGTTGACTTTTTTCTGTAGACTTACGTTTTACCGGACACAACATATATTGATATAGAATGTTTCCTTTTGTGTATATCTAAATATGTTTAGCTATGACGAAGAGACGTGCATATTGCCAAATTACAAAAAAACTAATTTTTAGTCTCTAAGAAAACCTGTAAGATTTCCGCTGCATTTTCTGTTAAATTGGTGCAAATTGTGTACTTAGTGCAATTTCGGTACTTAGACGTTATACAATGTTCATACATTGTAGGAAAATATATTATTTATATATACGAGCTTTAGAAACATGAGTAAAGCGAAACTCTACAGGTTTTTTTTTTCCTGTTTGGTAGCGAGTTCTTTGAGTACCCCAAATTGAAGTGTGCCGTTAACAGTTATTTGAATATAACTGTTCGCTCAGAAGAGAATCAGGATACAAGAAGACTATAAACATATACTATACGTTTACTATACGTTAACTATACGTTTATTGTTTCATGTTATATGTTCACCTGCACTTGATAGAAATTTTTATGACTTTTCAATATCACACCCGTATCAACCCCAGACACCAATATAATCCCAAGAGCTGTGCTCGAGTGATTATATTGGTTGAGGGTTGATGCGGTGCGTGATATTGAAAAAGCCATATCATATACACTTTATTATATACCCCAAGAAGATGTGTTTATGTGACATGACGTTATACAGATTAGGGATTCGATAAAGCCTTTGCAACAGTGACTGATATCGATGACGTGACGTCATACATATTAAAGGTGTGATAAAGCCTTTGCAACCGTGACTGAAATCGATATCATCACGGATGGCTGATACAGCGCGATTTCTGTTGACCGTATTACACATACAATTTATCTGTATTTACAACTAAATATATAATAAACGTCAATATCATAGATCTTACAAGGCACATATTCGTCATCAAACGATATTCAACACTGGACAAGTTTACAGTTGTGTTATACAATGAAAATTGAAACATTTGTTTTCTTAGTCCCAACCAATTTTGCTTTTGTTTTACTTTAAAAGATTTTCGATAAAGGAAAACTCACATACATATAAATGTTATATACTGAAGTTTAGTTAATCTCTAAAGTCTGGATTATAAAACTTTTAAAATAATGAGACGAAACAACAAGAAACATGACTTAAACAAGGTATAAAACCAGGGTAGGTATCTCTCTAAAAGCATTTATCAATCGTCTCAGGATTCAAAGGTGACATCAATTAGTAAATGTCAAAGCGAAAAAGCATCATAAAACCAGTTAAAATGCAATAATTTGAGAGTGATATTAATGGATATATGGGATCTTTAATTTAAAGGGACAAATCATTTGATAAGATGAAAGCAATCTTTAAAATTTAATATGAGAAATAGTGTTTCAGAGTGTAGATAAGTCAGGCGTGTTGATATTGTTACAAAAACGTAGTAAAAGGGATTGTAGATATTCTAACAAATCTAGTACATTTTACGATTTCACAACTGCTTGACACTGCTAATACTGCAATTTTGTTAGCCGTTGACTGTAATTAGAAGTAAGAATCTTCGAGAGGATTTAACATCAAAATTCAATATAACATTGACACATGATTGATATGTCCACTTCTACCGTCTCCACAAACTAACTCGTGTTATTTACAAAAACGACATTCTTGCATGCGTTACTATTATTTACCGAATGTGTTTCTATTCTTTATCAATTATAAAAGATAGCACTAAACCTATGTCATTTTGTTGTTGGCAGTCTCTTCAGTGTCTTCTTTTTGTTCGTGAAAATTG